GAGAGAGAGAGAGAGAGAGAGAGAGAGAGAGAGAGAGAGAGAGTCCTTCTTCTTCCTCTTCTAAGTCCACCATCTCCTCCTCACCCTCTCGCTGCCTAACTTCTCAGTACCTGCAGACTACAGGAGAGAGAGATTGGTGACTTTGGGACTCGACGACATTGGATCCAGACTCGACATTAGGATTCAGACATTTGACGAGGGATTATTTGGGGCCTGTGCCGAAGACTTGGTGTTGACGACATTCCCATCTTCCCCTCTTCTTCGTCTGTGTATGGTTGGGGACTGGCGCATTCTTCCTGTGTGAGCGCCAGGCCCCTTCACACCATGGAATGATGATGATGTATGTTTGGGCTACATTGCGACATTGATTGTTCGGGTCATTGGTATTTAAACCTTCCGCTGTGCTGTCTGTACTTTGTGAGAGAGGTCGGTTCTTTTTCTGGTCTGCACCTTTACGGTATGCGACAGTTTGGTATTGGAGCGGACCTCTCAATCAGAGGACCCGCTCAATCAAGTAGCCAGCTTGCTTGATCTATTGATTATTTATTAGTAAATCAAGTAGGACTGCGTCAAATCTCTGAATTTTTTTTCTTTCTCGCAACAAAAAATTCTGATAATAGCATTTCGTTTTATCTGAAAATTCCTGATAATAGCATTTCGTTTTATCTGAAAATTTTTGATATTAGCATTTCGTTTTCACGCAACAAATATCTGAAATTTTCTGAAAGTAGCATTTCGTTTCTCTGATATTAGCATCCGAAATTTCTGATATTCGCATACATAGCCGAAAATTTCTGATGTTAGCATTTCGTTTTCTACTGATTTCTAGGCATATGAGGATAACGATAGAGGTGGTCATATTCTCGGAAACCGGATTTATTCTTTTCTGAAAATCAAATCTCCATTCTATCTCGCAATTTTTTTTTGAAAACCGAAATCTTGCGAAGCCTATCAGCATTTCGTTTTAGGCATATTAGGAGATTGTCATATTCTCAGAAACTGGATTTTGTACTTTTCTGAAAATCTCATCTCTAGTACTCTACTCTATTTCGCACAATTTTTTTTCAAGATCGCATTTTTTTTAAAAATCCGAAACTTTGTGGAACCTTGCCTAGATCTCGCTCATCGTACTCCTCTGAGATGCCTCACTCATAGCAGATCGACAGATATACAAAAAAAAAAGAAAAAAAAGGGAGGTGATCCTCTTCTTTTATTTTTTTATTTATTTTATTCTGTTGATTAGGACTGGGAGGAAAGTATAGCTTGGTTGGTTACCTACCTGCGTTTTCCCTCCCACCCAACCCTTTGCCTGCATTCCCGGTTTGGTACAGTGCCACATCAGCAGTGCCACGTCAGCAACAGTGCCACGTCAGCGGTGCCATGTCAGCAATAGTGCCACGTCAGCAGTGCCACGTCAGCAACAGTGCCATGTCAGCAATACCACGTCACGGTCTCAGTTCTGGGCATGCCAGGCCAACTGGCCAATGAGTCCATTGCCGAGTACCGACAGCGGTTCGAAGCTCAGCTCGCACTGATCGAGGCTGAGGAACAGCGTCAGGCGGCAGCCGAGGCTGCCCGCCTACAGGCTGAAGCGGCGGCGGCAGCAGCTGAAAAGCAGTGGCTTCAGGCCGAAGCAGACACAGATACCCAGGCACGCCGCAAGGAGGCCCAGGATCTGCTAAAGCGGCATGAAGCCGCCAGCATCGAAAAGCTCAAGTTCTGGCATTTTGAACCATCCGAGCACCACGAAGACGTGACACCGGAGGAGCAGCACAAGGAGTTTCTTGCCAAACTTGTGACCCGGTTGGTTTACACTTGTAACCACCTGCAGTCCGAGCTGGCGAATCTCCGACGGGCGGTGCGGAACCACAAGGATCTGCACGAGGATGCTACACGGGCACTTGATTCCCGTGTACAGGACTTGGGGCTAGTTGCACCAAGACCGGATGCTAGCGAGTCCAGCAGTGCACCCTCTACCTGCCAATTAGAGGAACGAGTTGACCACGTAGTCGCAATGCCCGACGACATCAGCACCTTCGCTGCACCAGCCACCATCAGCAAGCAGCTGGACACCTTGAAGACCGAGGTTCAGCAACTGCACCAGCTGCCCAACAAGGATGGCAACACCAGTGCGCAGCACTACAAGATGCCGACATTCCGCATCGAAAAGTTTGATGATTATACGCATCAAGACCCGGTCCCCTGGTGGGAGGGCTTTACGATGGAACTTCGGATTCTTGTCGTCCCCGAGCACTCGTACATCGGCGCGTTGTTCCTCAACTCAAAGGGCAGGTGCCAGATATGGCTCAGCCACCTGGCAACCATCCACGGTATCGAAGTCGTCGATCTACATAAGAAGATCTCTTGGGACGAGTTGACGAAGCTATGAAAGAAGCGGTTCATCGTGGACGATGCCCTAGGGCCCGCCATCAACCGCCTCTTCAGCATGACTCAAGACAACACACCAACACGTGACTGGCTCACAGAATGGCAAAAGATCGTGGCAACGCCCGATCTCGAGTTGCCATTTCCGCATCTGCGCCGCGAGTTCTACAACCGGTCATGTGCCGCCTCGAGCCTTGCACTTGGTGATCGCGAGCAATACACGACCTTCTCCGAAATCATCGACAAGGCAAGGGAGATCATCAAGACCAACAGGGCGGGTGCATACAAGAAGTCAACATGGCAACCAACCTATGTGCGGAAAGGAAAATTTGGTCCGCGTCCGCAGCAAGTCACTGCAGTCCAACCGGACAACGTTGTGGAAGACCCGGCAGCCACCCAAGCATCACGTGAGGGAGATCAGACGGTCGTTGTCCAGCCGCGAAGCAACAACAACTCCCGAGGAAAAGGGAAGGCGAAAACCGCATCGCCGGCCGAAAACGGACAGCCAGCACCATGGGTCAAGTTTCACTTGACCGAGGCCGAATACAAGTGGTGCAGCCGGTATGGATGCTGCTATTGGTGCAACAGCACCAAGCACAAGACCTCCCAATGCCCGGATCAAGGCAAGGAGGATGTTCGGCCTCGCATCAACTCGGGAAACTGAGTTGCACGGGAGGTGAGGCGACTCCACCTATCACTCCGCCAGATTCGGCCGCCTTGCTAGCGGCCTCCTACAGGATGCGAATGTCGCAAGTCCTCGGTTCACTTACGAGGATTATGTTGTCCACTTGGTCCCACCGTTGGACCAACCACTCCACGTGCAACAATCCACCACATGCACGGTTTCACCACCATCGGCAACCGATTTGGCAGCTTCACCGCCATCTATCGTTGGGGATTCGACGTCATGGTCAAAACTTGAAGAGCTCGACCCGTTGACGTTTGCGGACTTCCAATGGATGCCCCTTCCCTCGTCCGATCGATTGTCGAAACCGCATTGCAACGTGCTCATGGCACAATTGCGGGATTACTTGCACACTGCATTACCAACTCCGTTGATGGACACCAGAGTAGAGGTTGTCGACCTTCACGACTACGTTGCGAAGATCGAAGACGAGTTCAAGACACAACGGTACGACGACATCGACGAGTCATTGTTATACATACGCATTCAGATCGGAGAGACGACCTGTAGCGCTTTGATCGATTGTGGAGCTACTCGCAACTACATGAGCCAAGACTTTATGGTACGCGCTGGCCTTGGGCCATGCGTTCGGAGGAAGTCACAGCCCACGCAAGTCAAGTTGGCCGACGGTCACACCGTCCCCGTGTACTTTGCCCCTCATGCAAGCGAGGTCGTGTCCTTCGATATTTTGGACACCAAATTCGACATGATCTTGGGCATGTCATGGCTGCGAAGCGAGGATCACCTTGTGAACTTCTACCGCCGCACCGTTCATGTTCGTGATCGGAACGGAGTACTAGTCCCATGCACGGTGCCTCCTCCTCACCCTTCGATCAGCTGCCACGTGGTGTCCGCCGCAAGCATTCGAGCTTCCATCATCAGGGATGACATCGAGGAGATGGGGGTGTGTTTTCTCCACGCCCTCCCTCCCCATGACATTCCATCGACGGACTTATCACCGGACCCACTCATCACCGAGCTTCTCGACGCCTGCGGCGACGTGTTCAAAGCCCCACACGGAGTAGTACCGGATCGGGCCATCCGCCACGAGATCATCCTCGAGGTCGGGGCCGTACCTCCGCGTGGTTGCATCTACCGCATGAGCGAGGAAGAGTTAAGTGTGCTACTGGCACAACTCAACGACCTTCTCGAGAAAGGTTGGATTCGGCCTAGCTCTTCGCCATACGGTGCTCCTGTTCTCTTCGTCCGGAAGAAGAACAAGGATTTGCGGTTGTGCATTGATTATTGCAAGCCCAGCGCGCAAACCGTCAAGAACGCCGACACTCTTCCGCACATCGACGACCTCCTCGAACGGCTGGGCTCTGCCAAGTTCTTCTCCAAGCTTGACCTCAAATGGGGATATCACCAACTCGAGATCCAGCAGGAGGACTATTACAAGACCTCGTTAAAGACGCGATATGGGCATTTCGAATGGTTGGTTATGCCTTTTGGCCTTACGAATGCCCCGGCCACATTCCAAGCGGCTATGACAACGGAGTTTCGACACATGCTGGATGGATTCGTACTCATCTACCTTGACGACATCTTGGTGTACAGCCGGAGTTCGGACGAGCATGTGGAGCACCTGCGCACCGTTTTGGAGCGGCTACGACAAGCCAAGTACAAAGCCAACCGTAACAAATGCGAATTCGCACGGCAAGAGATGGAGTACTTGGGACATTACATGACGCCGCAAGGCATCCGTCCGCTTGCGGACAAGATCGAGGTCATCCGCGTATGGCCCGAGCCCACCAACACCACGGACGTTCGTTCATTCACGGGGTTGGCGGGCTACTATCAACGCTTCATCACCGGGTACTCAAGGATTGCCGGCAATTTGCCGCACCTATGACGAGATTACAATCGCCAAAGGTGCCATTCGTATTCGATGACGACGCACGCCGGTCATTCTAAGCACTCAAGACAACCATGCTCATGACACCCGTCCTTAGCATCTACGACCCCACCTTGCCAACGAGAGTGACAACTGACGCTTCCGACTATGACATTGGGGAAGTCTTGGAACAACACTACGGCGACGACTGGCACCCCGTGGAGTATTTCATCCACAAAGTGTCTCCCATCAATTCACTTGATGATGCAAGGAAGAAGGAGCTGCTCACGTTCGTGATGGCTCTCAAGCGATGGCGGCACTTCCTCCTTGGGCGTCATAGGTTCACCACTTCCTCCTTGGGCGTCGTAGGTTCACATGGGTCACGGACAACAACCCATTGACCTACTACAAGATGCAGGATACGGTGAGCACCACGATCAGACGATGGATGTACTTCATCAACCAATTTGACTTCACACCGAAACATCTCGCCGGCCTCTCCAATCGCGCGGCAGATGCACTCTCACGAAGACTCGATCTTTGCGCTATGACACATCATGCCTTCGCATTCGATGAGGAACTCCAACGACACTTCATCCGGGGCTATAAGTCCGAGCCAGATTTCGCCACGTTGTATGCGCCGCTATCTTCGGATCACCCGCCGGCCAGCCACTATCATATCGTCGACGGGTACTTGCTCCTTCACTCGCGAGGCAAGGACTTATTATGTGTCCCACGAGACCGTCGTCGTCGGACTCGCCTTCTCGGCGAGTACCATGACTCGCGACTCGCCGGCCATTTCGGAGTCAATCGCACTATTGCACGACTTTGGCAACGATTCCGATGGCCCGACCTCATTACCGATGCCATTAGGCATTGCGACTATTGCGAAGTTTGCCGACGAAGCAAGCCCCACAACCACAATCCCTCCGGCGAGTTGCGCCCGATGCCAATCCCACGGGAACCCGCCCTCTCCATTGCCATGAACGTCACCGGACCGTCTCCCCGCGACTGCCTCGGGCACGATGGCATCCTCACAGTCGTTGACCGTTTGAGTAAGTACGCGCAGTTTCTCCCTTGCAAGTACTACTCCACGGCTCCCGAACTTGCGCGCCTCTTGCACACCGGCTGGATTTGCAGCCACGGCGTACCGGAAGACATCATCAACGACCCCGACACTCGCTTCATGTCGGCATTTTGGATTTCTCTCATGCAGGAATCCGACACGAAGATGAAACCAAAATCGGCTTGGCATCCACAAACGGACGGGCAAACGGAGCGGGCACATCAAACCGCTCAAATGATGCTTCGTACGCTCATCCGTCCTGATCAGAAAGCTTGGGTTGACCGCCTCCCCGACATCGAGTTCGCCTACAACACTTCGTTGCACACGGCGATCGGTGTGACTCCATTCGAGTTGCACCATGGTGGCCGGAAAGGCCGTATCTTCGCTGATCTTCTCCTCCCACGAACAGCTGACATAGACGCTGCTTGCTCCCCCACTTCCGTTCGGAAGTACAGGGAATTGTTGGCTCAAGCCCGCGCGAACATGCAAAAGGCTCAAGTTCACATGCAGCAGCAAGCCAACCGGCGTCGCGTGCCAGGTCCCATCCGTGCCGGTGATCTGGTTTGGGTCTCCGCAGAAGAGTTTGCACTCGAGCAGGATGTTTCGTGCAAACTACTCCCCAAGTGGTTTGGACCATGGCCCGTAACATCAGCCACAGGCGATGAGCCCGATGACCCCTCATTTGTGATCAACATCCCCCCCCATCTGACGGTCCATCCAGTCTTTCACGCCTGGAAGCTGGCAACATATACACCAGCTAATAGCGACGACTTCCCGGGCCGACAATTGCAAGATCCTTCATCTATGGATGGTCATCAAGAAGTTGACCGCATCATCACAGATCGCAAGTACGGCAGCAAGCCTCTACAGTACAAAGTTACATTCAAAGTGTGCGATCCCGACGACACTCGATGGATTTCAGGAGCAAACTTGAAAGCATTCGCACCGCTGATCTACGCTCACTACGAGCGAAAAAGGTTAGCTCAACTTCACGACCTGCCCCTCCCACCCGGACTGTGGTCCCTCCCTCAGACAGACAGCTTCGCCCTCGCAGGTAAGCTCGGTGTTTCAAGGAAGAGGGGGTGTGGCATACTGCGCAGCCACACGGGCCTGCAGGGCCCGACTAGCGTTTTCAGCCTAAAAGCCTGAAAACAAGGGCTTACATGCCCTGTGTCGTTTCAGCCTGAAAGCCTGAAAACGAGGGCCTTCAGGCCCTATGTCGTTTCAGCCTAAAACAGGGCCTTCCAGGCCCTGAGTCTTTTCAGCCTGAAACGAAGGGCCATTTTCAGGCCCTCATAAGATCGACCTGCCCTGAAACTTAGGAACCAGACCAGGGTTTTAGCACAGGCCATTTTTGGCCTGTTTTCAAGGCAACCCTTGGTTGAACTTCAACGCCAGGGTCTGGCACGTTTTGGCATTGGCAAGAGCAGCCTCCTAGATGGGCCAGCACTATATAAGACTGACCCGCCCTACAGGCGGTCAGGAGACAGTCTCGAGGTAGTTCCTAGGAACTTCCCAGGCACTTCATGTGCAGGAGGCAGGAGGCAGTCTTCAGATTCGGCAGCAGCACTCTTGAGGAGCGCTGCAGCAGTAGTCTTCAGCGCTGGGCGCTATTAGCAGATTCAAACAGAAATTACAGCCAAATGGGAGGCAGTCAAAACGAAGATCCGGTTATGGCAAAATCCAAAGGACATTAAGCGGAAACTGCAAGAATTCAGCTCAAACTGGCTGGGAGGTCCCGATGAAGGAAGATTAGGGAGGGTTGAATGGAAAGGAGAGGCAAAGTCGGATGAGGACCAACAGGGAGCAGCGATAGCAAGGGACTACCAACTGCTGTTCAATGATTGGGCTAAGATAGATGCAGGGATCCCCCTCAGACCTCCCGAAGAATTCCCCGACCCCTTCCCCCCCCCCTCCAACTGCCTGGTGGGGATGCTGTGGTATGGACTGTAGAAGAGGATGTTCCGGGCGTGGCTGAACCCCTCGGCCGGCTACTCTTTGTGTCTGTGAGGCAGACTCTGTTTTGCGTTCCCAGTTCTCAAAGTCAGTGACGCTCAGCCAAAAGGAAGTGGGGGGAGGGGGGAGCTAGGTCCTAGTAGCAGATATCTGGCACCGGTAACCAGGTAACCAGGTGAAGAGGCTCCCCCACTTCCATCCCTTCCACCCCTCCTGTTCAGTCAATCCCCTGGGCCCCAGGGCAATCAATGCTGACGGGAGTATGTCCTCAGGTCGACATTTTCTGCTGGTTTTTCTGCACGCACTCATGGGACGCTGGGCCCGGTTCCCAGCTTGTGCCAATTCAAGTGGATATGGTTGTATCTATGGGACGCTGGACCCGGTTTCCAGCAGGTGC